CTCGATTCCCGGGAGGGGGCGTGCAGGGGGCAGCTGATCAATGATCCTTTCTCAGCATTGATGTTTCTGTTTCTCTCTCCCTCTCCCTTCCTCTCTGAAGTCAATAAAAATATGTTGTGTTTTTTTTTAAAAAAGAACCCTTCCTCTCTCTGAGTTTGTCCTTCTCTAAATCCGTTACTCCGTCCGCCTGGCTCTGCAGGGTGGAATCATCTCTTAGCACATTCCCAGGTTTCGTGTCTGTGTGCGGATCGGGCGCTCACCTACCGCCGAGAACCACAGAGCAGCCCCTGCCTGCAGTTAGACTCTCACATCCTGGAGAGAGACTCGCGTCAGACGCTTTAGCTTAGAGGGGAGGAAGGAGACCTTCACATCAAACGTGAACCTTGTGATGGTGGCTCACAAACTCCCGGAAGTTCCCCGGCTGCCCAGGTGCGCAGCGCAGTGGGGGCTGGAACCTGAGGACCAGGAAACCAGGACTCCACGACCCGCCTCCACGGCTGGCCTCAAGAACTCCAAGTTCAACCAGCCCCGAGGGGGCAGAAGGCACAGGTCGCACCGTGGCTCAGCTGGCACCGGCGGCCAGCTGGGTCCCCAGGCTCAGTGGAGGCCCATAGCCTGTCTCTTCAGACACGGTGAGATGAAAAAGACACTTTTGTTTGATCAAACCCAGGCGCCGGGTAAGGAAATGCCTCCCTGTGCACTTCCTTGGCCGGGCATTGCCCATGGGCACCAGGGCGGAGGGTAACTGCTCGTGCCAAGTGTGTAGGCAAACTCCCAGGAAAAGGTCAATTAAAGGCGGAGTTTTGTGGGCTTTTAGAAAATATATTTTCATTGATTTCAGAGAGGAAGGGAGAGGGAGAGACTCTCAGAGAGAGAAACAACGATGAAGAGACAGAATCACTGATCGGCTGCCTCCTGCAGCCACACACTGGGGAATCGAACCAGCAACCCAGGCCTGTGCCCTGACCAGGAATCGAACTATGACCTCCTGGTTCATAGGTGGACGCTCAACCACTGAGCCACGCCGGCCGGGCGAGGCAGAGTTTTGACTGGACTCCGGTCTATTGAGAGAATGTTTGGAGACTGGCGTGTGGGCGCGGACAGGCGAGGCGTGCCCGGAGAGACAGACCGGTCCTGGGGGGGCTCCTCCTCGCTCACGGCCCGCCCCCTGGAACGGGGCCGCGGGGGCCAACCTTGGGGACAGAGGGAGCCGTCAGTGCTGGGGTGACTCTCAGCTGCTCAGACGACCGCTCTCACCTTTTCCATCCATCCCGGGAGGGAGGGCTGTTTACACCTTTGCTGCCCGAGTGAGGGCCACGGACGGACGGACGGACGGACGGACGTGCGGCCCAGAGCTGAGGGCTGAGCACACAGAGGCATGGCCCGCTTCCCAGACCTTCAGAGTGGCACCTGCTGGACAGCACCCGCTCAACGACTGTCCGCAGTGTTTTTTCAGTGAGTCACCTGCTGCTTCTCTGAATTTTCTGTTTTCTTAGCTGATCTCGAGATGGTTTCTGGGAGTTGTCCCTGTGCCCCAAGCACATGTACTTTGCTTCCCACATCCAGAGCATTAACTGCTCCTCAGAGGCGCTGGCCTCAGGGGAGAAGGAGCCGGTGTGAACTGGGTCTGGTCCCCCAGCCTGAGGCTCCCTCTGGGATCCTGGCCAAGCCGCTCCCTCCCAGAGGCGATGTCCTTGACTGTGAAATGGGGCTGCCTACAGGGCGGCTCCTGGAGGGGCTGGGAGGTCGCCTGCTGCCTGGAGGGGCGGGGAGGTCGCCTGCTGCCTGGAGGGGCGGGGAGGTCGCCTGGTGCCCGCTGGCGGGTCACTGCAGAGGAGAAGGCTGGCCAGGAGGGCGGGTGCCTCCTCTTGGAGAGTCTGATCCAGGCGGAGGCCTCACTTTCCCTTTGGCAGGTGAGGCGGGAAGTTTAAGGACCTTGTCCGAGGTCCCGGGAGGCAGGTGGCTGGTCCCAGGCCTCTGTGGAAAGTTCCCAGAGTGCTCACCAGGTTCTGACAGCGCACTGAGTATCCAACTTTGTTCATTTAACAACACTGTGTGCCCGCACCTAAATAAATCAGTGGTTCTCAACTAGGTCACATCCTGGGAACTGAAAAAATACCCACCCCTGGCAAAGGGCCCGGCCCCCGAGATTCTGGTTTAATTGGTTGGGGTGCAGCCTGGGCGTTAGCATGTGTTCAAGCTTCCCAGGGGACTCCAGTGCACCTGGGATTGCAAACTGCTACCCTAAATACTTAGGATGGTCTTTTTTTCCCTTAAATATATTCTTATTGATTTCAGAGAGGAAGGGAGAGGGAGAAAGAGAGAGATAGAAACATCAATGATGAGTGAGAATCATTGATTGGCTGCCACCTACACACCCCACACTGGGGATCGAGCCTGAAACCTGGGCATGCGCCCTGATGGGGAATCGAACCCTGACCTCCTGGCTCACGGGCCTGCCGGGCTTCGGGATGGTTTTTTAAGAAAAGATTGCTGGGGGGCCTCGAACCGAATGGGTGCCCTTATTGTTGTCATAAAACTCACCTGTGCACGGAGGCCGTGCACTCGTCCGGGGTCCCCACGGGCATGGGGCCTGCTGACGAACGCAAGGTTCCTCCCATGTAACGCGTGTTCGTTTTACATGAAGTCCTCCGTTCAGAGACTGTCTTCAGGACAAAGAGAAGGAAGGGGAACTTGTCTGAACAAAAGGAGTTTTCCTCTGAGCCAGGCCAGCCTGGAGCCTCCGCAGGGCGAAGCGGCCCCTCCTCCCCTGGCAGACACCTCTCCGCGGCGGCGGGGTTCCTCCCAGAGTCTCCATGAGGACAAAGGGCGTGCACTCCCCGGCCAGGACGCCCCAGCCTTTCCTCTCGCTGCCAAGGTCCATGCCAAGGCCCCGGGACATGCAGAAGCTTCCCGAGGGCCCGACCCGCCACCATGCGGCCCCACCTGCGGAGACTCGCTCACCTGGGCCGCGCTGCGCACTGGCTCCTGCTCTTGGCCGGCTTGCTCTTCCTCCTGTTCACCCTGCCCGCCTTCGTTAAGGAGCCGAGCACAAAGCCCACAAGGTAAGATCCTGGCCTTTGCCACCTCATTTGTTAGAGGAAACAGAAAACTCCGGAGGGAGGACTGGGGAGCTCGGAGACACGGCTGTGCCCTCGTGGGCGACGGGGACCGGGAAGCCTGGGGACCGTGGAGGCGGTGGGAGAGGGGGTGCCACGGGCACGCAGGCAGGGGTTCAAGAGCAGGAGTATGTCCCCCCGGGACTGTGAGCTTGGGGACAGTTCTGGGGTTCAGTTCTCACATGCCATGCAGTGTCTCGAAGCAAAAGACTTACCCCGTGTATTCATTCATTCACTTCATAACCATGCTCTCCCTAAGGAGCCCGTCACGTCAGGGGGCAGCTTAAACGCTGGGCCTCAAGAATCCATAGGAAGGATTGTCTAGACCAGACTTCTTTCATGTATATCTCCTTCTATTGATTTCAGAGAGGAAGGGAGAGGGGGAGAGAGAGGGACATCAACGATGAGAGTGAATAACTTATCAACTGCCTCCTGCACACCTCACACTGGGGACCGAGCCCTCAGCACCCCGGGCATGAGCCCTGACTGGGAATCGAACCATGACCTCCTGGTTCATTGGTCGATGTGCAACCACTGAACACACTGGCCAGGCTAGACCAGTTTTCTTAGAGAACAGACACACCTCCAGCAGTGAGCGACCCTGTTCTCTCTAGACTCAATTTTTAAAATCGTGTTTCACTCTTCTTAAAATCTGACAGCAGTGCTTGTTCTCATGAAGTTTACAACAATACAGAAAGGCAGAGCAAGAAGGGAGGGTCTCTCCATTACACCCCATCTCTACCCACTCTTCTGGGGTGAGCGCTCTTAATACCTGGGTGTATACGTAGTTATGATGTTATTGTCGCTAACACTTCTGTCGAATTCTCTAGGTGCCAGGCAGGATCCTAAATGCTTTATGTGAATTAACTCACTAATGCTTATGATTCTGAACATCCTGAAACAGAGAGCTTAAGTGAGTCACCCAGACTTGCTTGCAGGGTGGATTCAAGCCTGGCATTTGGGACCATAGTCTGTGCTCTTTCCGTATGCTATGCAAGCCCTAACGTGTGGGTAAACGGAGGGGTCGACAGGGAAGTAGGTGGATGACAGATGGATACATACACATCGGTCCCCATTATGTCACACACAAATAACTTTATATAGATGAGATTTGTCTATCTTTTCCCTTATGGCCACTAGACTTTGTGCGTTCCTAGGAAAGTCTGCCCCAGTCCAAAATGATATAAATTGTCTTCTATATTTTCTACTTTTGCTATGTAAGCTCAAATAGTTACTCTACCTGAAATTACTTTTGTGTAGGCCTACATATGGGTTTGTATATGTTGGAAGTCTTGATTGCAAATGATAGAAACTTGACTCGATCTGGTTTACATAAGAGGGTGAGGTGCGCTGTCCACCGAGGCCCCGTAGCTGGCTGTTGTCCCAGGCACCGGAAGGTTGCCTGTATGATGCCCAGGCAGGCTGTGGGCTCAATCCCAGTTCGGGGGCGGGGAGGAGGCAGCCGAGTGATTGATGTTTCGCTCTCGGATGTCTCTCTCTCTCTCTCTCTCTCTTCCTCTCTCTCCCTTCAAAAAAGAAAAAGAAAAAGCCAACAAGTAAGAAGCTAAGGGAGGGAGAGAGGCTCAGAGAATGAGTGTTTGGGGCGCCGGCCCTCTGGGAGTGAGGGTGAGGGTGAGCTGTGGGGGAATCGTGACCTGGGCCCTGGCCTCCTCCCACCCCTCCTCCCGCCCAGTGCTTCGTGCCCGGGAGTCGGAAGGAGACCGAGTACCCGGCCCTGTTTCTGGTCCGGAGTGTTCTAACGGCAGAAGGGGGTGGGCACTGACCCTGGGATGTGTCCCTGGGAAGATGGCCAGTGCCCTCTGCCCACCCGGGGTCTCCATAGCCCAGGACGCTGCGGAGGGCAGCTCAGCCTGGTCCGAGCCCCAGAACTGCCCAGGTACCCGCTGGGGCGTGCAGGAGGCAGCCAATGGAGGTGCCCTCTCACATCGATGTTTCTTTCTCTTCCCCTCTCTCTAAAAATCAATAAACAATTCTTAAAAAGAAAGAAAGCAAGGAAGGAAGGAAGAAAGGAAAAGAGAGGGAGCTGTAAACCGCCAACTCCATGAGAAAGGAGATTTCCAAGGTTAGGAAACCTTGGTGTGTGAAGGTCACTCATTATCAAAGCGCTGTTGGCTCTTTTATGGCTCTTTTATGGCACGATCATTTCAGTCGGAGGAGATTTGCAGACAGTAACCTAGGGTCCAGGGGCTTTCTGTGAGTTATCGCTGATTGTTTACAAAATGAAGAGGAGGAGGCTCACAAGGTTACACAGATGCGTGGGGTGGGATGGTCACCGCAGGAGGGATAAGGAACCACCCTGACGTCCAAGGTGCGGCAGCCTGTGGACAAGACTCGTTCGGGCCGGGGCCCAGGGTGGGACGGGGAGGAGGTAGCCTCCGCACCTGCCTGAGCCGGGACATGGAGGCAGCGGGAGCATCGCAAAGGGAGAGAGCGAGCCACGGCCTGAAACGGGGAAAGGCTGCCCAGCCGGGAGGGGAGGCTGAGTAACGATGAACATCGCGAACCCCAGTGCCAGGCCCCGGCCCCGGCCTCGGCCCCTGACCGTCTAGCAAGCCTTTCGGGTGGACACTATCATCACCCTCACCTCCTTGCACAGACACAGGAGGTCAGGACACTAGTCCGAGGTCACCTCCTCACTTCAGCTCAGACCCAGTGGCCACGCCCCAGCCAGGACCCCAGGCAGGCAGCACCCCGCCCTCTATCGCAGCCGCCCGGACACGAGGCCGTCAACCCAAAGTTGTTTTTTCTTTCTGATTTCTTGTGGGTGGGAAGCAACCATCTAATTTGTCTCCATTTCCCGGTCATCTGAATGGGGCCTGGGGACAGTGCAGGGTCACACGGTCCTCGACTCTCTCACTACCGCATTCCCTCCCCGGGAAAGACCGCTGTCTCACCAAGGCCTCAGGCCTCAATGAGTTTTGAACATTTAGTCTTGCCTTTGCTCTCAGGTCCCCGTCTGCGATGTTTACCTAAGAATTTAGAGGGAGGCCCTAGCGGGTTTGGCTCGGTGGACAGAGCGTCCGCCTGTGGACCAAAGGGTCCGGGTTTGATTCCGGTCAAGGGCGCGTACCTTGGTGGCAGGCTCCTCCCTGGCCCGGGCCCTGGTCCGGGCATGTGCAGGAGGCAACGAATCGATGTGTTTCTCTCACATCGATGTTTCTCTCCCACTCTCCCTAAAAACCAATGGAGAAATATCCTCGGGCGAGGATTAACAAACAAACAAACAACAAACAAAGAATTTAGAGGGAGGAGGATGCCAAATTGTTCATTGATGGAATAGAGCAGTGTGATCCTTGCCAATGATACATTTATTTTTCAAAGTGCAACATTTTATATTCTTACCTCCCAAATAGGTCAGAATTAGGAAATTAAGTTGCTTCTGGCTTGGATGTGATCCATGAGTGATTTGCCTGGTCCTCTGACCTACAAGCTCTTAATAGAAAAAAGGCCCCCCCACCCGCCACCCCAGCCCAGCCCTGCCCAGCCCAGCCCAGCCCATGGTGTATAAACCCACTCGGCATGTGGACGGAAGCAATTTGAACATTCAGCAAACACCCCACCTGAGAATCGGTAATGCCTGGATAAACACCCACCTCCTTAGCCATCCCAGGTGTGTTTAATTACAGGGAAGTAAAATGAAATATAATAGCGTCATGTTGTCGCGACCTGGGTCATTGCAAAGACTTCCCGTATAAATAGATGTGGCATCTGCGGGCTGAAGGGTCGGGCGGGGGCCGCTGTCTCTTGCCCCTCGATGGGCCCGCAGAGAGGGGCCCGGTGCTGGGTGTCCTCAGGGCCCACGTGACCGCTGCGGGCTGACAGGTGGAACAGTCCAGCCCACCCGCCGCACCCGTCCCCGCACAGCCAGGCAGGTGCTGGACGCTGGCAAGGAACATGTCCACGGGCCTCTGGGGTTTGGGGGCGGGAAGTAGGGGCGAATCCAGAGCCAGCCCAGTAGCAGCAGCTGTTTGCCAAGCAGGTAACACCTCGGCTTCCGCGTTGCCCTTGGAGCTTAAGCTCAATTATCAGCTTAAAGGGCAGTTCGGGGAGACCCAGCCCGAGCTCATGCCCTCAGTCTTTCTACTAAACAGAGCAGCACAAATCCATCGCCAGCTTTCCTCGTGCACTGGCGGGCATTCTTTTTTTTTTTTTAATATATTTTTATTGATTTCAGAGAGGAAGGGAGGGGGAGAGAGAGAGATAGAAACATTAATGATGAGAGAGAATCATCTATCGTCTGCCTCCTGCACGCCCCACACTGGGGACCGAGCCCCCAACCCGGGCCTGGGGTGTGGCATTCTTTCAGAGTGAATACTCAGGGGGTGTCTGCCATCTCAGGAGCCGATGACCCCCTCTTTCTCTTGAGACTGACCTCCTCCTATGCACAGGGTGGACCCCAGGATGTCCCCCACCGTGTTACCCAGACCCCTGGCCAGGGGTGGAGAAAGCACCCAAGTGCGTGAGAATCTGGGCCCCCAAAATGAAACCCCGGGAGCATAGAGAGCCGACAGTCCCCAGAACAGACGCTAGGGGGCGGCCGGCCCCCACCACGTGGGCTGAGAAAGTGGGAAGGAAGCCGCAGCCTTAGAGCCCTGGTTCTGGACCCTCCTGAGAGGCTCAGTCACTCCTCGCCCCTGGGTTCCTCCTGACGCTTCCATCCCCACGGCCGCAGGCAGCTGCTGGCTGGGGAGCAGCGCCTCAAGCCAGTCTATAAGGCAGACCCTTTGCGAGGCTCTTGATTCAAAGCCAAGGTTGGCAGCCCTGGTCTTGACATAAATGCGTCTCTTCCCCATTTTCTTTGGACAAGGCTACCATTGTTCCCTCCACTTCATTTAAAAAAACAAAACACAAAGCACCCAAGGTCGACTGAAGGGCCCCAACACGCAAATCCAAGGTGACAGGTCTCAGGCCACGCAAACTCCTTCTTAGACCTCAATCCGGAGCAGTGTCCCGGGCGCCACGGAGAACCCGGCAGAGAGTAAGGGAGAGGGAGAGAGAACCACCGGCCAGCGGCCTCCTGCACGCCCACACTGATCCCCGCTGGGCATCGAGCCCGCAACCCGGGCCTGTGCCCTGACCGGAATCAAACTGTGACCTCCTGGTTCATAGGTCGGCGCGCCACCACTAAGCTATACCCCCGGCAGGGGAATGCAGTTTTAAAGTCACTTGAATTAATTCTTTTATATATGAGTATGCTTCGAGGCTTCCTCTCTGGAGGATGGATGGGGATGCGGCTTCCTTTCCTCGCACAGGCACTGCCTTGCAGTCGGCCTGAGGCCCAAGCTTCTATTCCCTTCACCTTCATCAGCCATTCTCTGTCCCCAGGCATCATGGGATAGAGGACACTAAAGAGAAGTCCTGGCCACCACTGAAGGAGACCTCGCCCCCAGAACCCCCCGTGGACAGAAGGGACCCCACCCACGCAGGGTTCGCACAGGAGAGCAGCACGCTGGACACGCGCCCTGAGGCCACGGGCCACACAGAGGCCACGGGTCA